ATGACTTTATATATCAACGTGTGATTTTTATATCACAATTAAAACTGTTTCTATAACAGTTTAACTATATCTCAAAATGTAACTTTTTTTTTTAATCTCATAATTATGACTCAAAATATGACCTAGTTTCTCGTAATTGTAAATCTCAGTGTGAGTTTATATCTCAATGTGGTCTTAAAATTGTGTTCATATTTCACAACATCACTTTATAATTCATAAAGTGTTGTAGTTTCTCATAATTGTGACTTTATATCTCAAAATATTACTTGATATCTCGCAATGTGACTTTACATATCATAATTATGACTTGGTTTCTTACCTCACAACTGAGACTTTATATCTCAAAATATGACTTTAATCTCAAAATGTGATGTTTAAATCTTAAAATCTCACAATTGTGACTGTATCTCACAATTGAGTCTTTATATATCAAAATGTGACTTTATATATCACAGTGTGACTTTCTTATAATTTTGACATAGTTTCTTGTAATTGTGACCTTATGTTAAAATGTGACTAAATCTAGCATTGCAACTGTATGACTTTGTACTGTTTATCTCATAATTATGACTTAAGGCTGGAATACACTACACGACTTTTAAAATCTGAACAGATTTGTTGGCACCAATAGCCTCGTGGGGAGCGCCGTCATATAGCAGCATTGCGCTTCGGCCTTTCCCGTTCCTGTCCCCCCTCTCTCCCTCCCACTTTGCTTCCTGTCTACAATACTATCCTAATAAAAGGTACCAAAAATAAATCTTGAAAAAAAAATCTCAACAGACAACTGAGGATCACACACTACCAGTTTTTCAAGTTGTTCCGATCACAACAAATTCACTCAAAAATGTGCCTCTTGTTGCTAGGAGACTTGTGACAAATGAAAACAATATGTGTTGTAAAGTTGGCTGAAAATATCAAACGTGTGATATCCTACGATTGGATAGATTCATTCTAAAAAACTGTCTGTGACCATCATACACTGTGATTTTCTATGAAATCTGTCAACTCAAATCTGCAGACTGTCTCTGACTTTCATCAACTAGCGTCAACTTATCCACACTGTAAATCGGGGGGAAATCAGGGCAAAAGTCATGTAGTGTATTCCAGCCTTTAAATTTCAAAATGTAACTATATCTCACAATTAATTCTTCGTACCTTAAAGGGATAGTTCACCCAAAAATGAAAATTCTGTCATCATTTACTCACCCTCATGTCGTTCCAAACCTGTATGAGTTGCTTTCTTATGTTGAACACAAAAGAAGATATTTTGAAGATTGCTGGTAATCAAACAGTTGGTGGTTGCCATTGACTTCCATAGTATTTTTTTTTCCTACTATGGAAGTCAATTGCAACCACCAACTGTTTGATTACCAGCAATCTTCAAAATATCTTCTTTTGTGTTCAACATAAGAAAGCAACTCATACAGGTTCGGAACGACATGAGGGTGAGTAAATGATGACAGAATTTTCATTTTTGGGTGAACTATCCCTTTAAAATGTGACTTTATATCTCATAACTATGACTTATTGTGAAACTTTACCTGCCAATTACTTTAATTTTTTCTCTTGAGGCAGAAACGGGCCTCCATACAGACCTCTTTAGGTCATAAATAAGCCTGATTGCGCACCATCGCAATGTCCCATCCAGAAATGTATGTTTCCTCTGTGCCTGTTTGTGTATGTACGTGTGTGTATTTGAATTTATTGACTGTTTAATCAACAAGCATCTGTCATCACTTGTGGAGAAGTGGCCGATAGATGACACAAAGAGGTGTCCTCTGGGATTGAGCGAAAGTGAGAGCGTGAGAAAGAGAGATTTTAACAGCTGTCCGACTCACTCTCACCCTCACGTCATGCCTTTGCCCACTGTGTCATTTTTTTGTGCTGACAAATGAAGCGACCGTGTTCTCTCACGAGTCAAAGGTTTGTCCTCCTCCACAAAATCTCAGTTGTGACCTCAGACTCTCTCCTTGTAATATTGACTGAGTCATGAAGATGTATTCTCAGCAGATATGCCTCTTTTTCACAGGCCGAGCTACAAGATAAGTGATCTGAGATCAGTTGAAACGCCTCCTGTGCATTCCTCAACCGAATTTCAGCACTTAATCATTTTCTACGCAGTCGTTGCATGCAGATGTTTTGCATACCAGCTTGGATGATGCTAATTTTTGTGTACACCCACACAAATTTCTGAAGGGTTAAATCAAGGTCACTCTGCCTCACCACAACTATGGGTTATTGTTACTCCTGTCTACTGTATAATTTTCATCCTCGTATTCCAAACAATCGGAATTTCAAGCTTCTTGATGACCAGAATACATTTAAAACTCAACTGCAAGCCTGTGAACACTGAAATAAAATCTTTCAGAACAAAATGTTGATCTCAGTTTACCGTCAATATCCTCCAACGCGTGAGATTGCAGTAACTTTGTCGGTCTGACACTGCTGCCATAAACGAGGAAATATGTAAGGATATTGTGATTTTAATGTAGTTCCACATATTCTTACCTAAAACAAATAGAGTCCAAAAAGAGTTCATTAAAATTCCTCTATTGCTTCTTTGTGCAATAATTAGTATTCTTGTTATTTAATACATGTTTTTCTTGTTATATTATTAGGATGTCAATCTTATACTAACATATTTTTTTAATTCTCCCCCAAAACACTCCCAGATTTAATGTTAAAGATTTAATGTTAATGTTTACACATTAATATTAAGGTTTAATTTGCGGACCTCACAAAATATGGCTTAAAATCACCAATAAAAAAACAAACAAACAATGTTTTGATTTTATGGGGTTTATGAAATGAATTCATGGGGTCTTATATAGTCAAGTCACCTTTATTTATATAGCACTTCATACAATACAGATTGTGTCAAAGCAGCTTTACAGTGTTAAACAAAAAACGTGTGCAGAAAATGCAAAAGGACAATAGAAAACAGTCAGTTCATCATTGATTCAGTGATGTCATCATCCAGCCCAGTTCAGTTCTCTTCAAATAGTGTCTGTGCAATCAAGTCAACAATATTGCCAGAAATTGTGGCAATTTATATATATATACAGTATGTGTGTATATATATATATATATATATATATATATATATACACTGTATATGTATATATGTGTATGTATATATGTATGTGTGTGTGTGTGTGTGTGTGTGTTTTCACTTTTATTAATTTTTAAATAGCCTATTCATTTCCAGCTGGACTTGGCCGGTCATTGTGCTCTCTCAGTGGGCGCTACTACTTGCCGTCTTCACTCTTGACACTGATGTGTTCACAAGGTCAACAAGTTCACACAATGCCAACTAGCAGGAAGCATCTGGTGTGGACAAGATGGCCTTTTTGGTGGTGTGTCCAAAAGCATCTGTATCACGCACAGGCACACTCACCCGCAACCCTTGCAGTATTGCTGTTTGCAGTCAGGGGGCGATATTAGACTTCATTATCCACCTAGCAAATGAGAATACAGGCTTCATTGTGATAGGCTCTCGGCTGGCAGAACCTTTTTTTCCCTCTCTGTTGTCTCCTGACTGTCGACGACTCTGACTCTATCTGTTCTTTTCCTCCTCCTCCCGCGTTCCCTCTCTCCTCTGGATTAAATTAGCTGCAGAACGGGAGACTCCATCACTGCTGCATCCATTGATGTGTAAAGGACTAGTTTAATAATGGGATTGAAAGCATAAAGGGGAATAGCAGCAAGGATTTTGGAAGGGGTGAGTATATCCAAGCCAGTGACAGAGGAGCACATAATCTGGACCGCTGGAATTACAATTGGGATACAGTAGTTTTATGGGAAAGAGGGGGAGGAGAGAGCCATTATAATTATGGATGATGACAAGTGAGATATTTATTTAGGATTTCTGACCAAAGAAGTCTACTTGTGAAATGTTTCCTTTTGTCATTTCCTTGGAATGGTGTGACGGTATTCCGAAGTGTCGTTTCCGCCGCAACAGCTGTGCAAGCTTGATTGTTGCATTTTTTTTTCTACTTGAGCTTTGTTTTCCATTCACAATGTCATACAGAGATTTGATAATACAAAATTTTGAGAATGGTTATTCTTCTAGCTTTATGGGAAAAAGATGATGGTGATGTTAGAAAGGAAAACTGGTTTAGACACCTTCCATGAGTGGATGTTGGACTACCAGGTTATCGGTGACAATGAGATGTAATGTATTCCGAACTTGCGAAATGGTGTGCAGGTTTATGCCAGATGCTTTATTCTCAAAGGATCTTCTCACACATTGTGCTGGATTTTTGAATTTCCAAGCAGTATATCCATGCTCAGCTGTGCCGAATGGCCAAGGTTATGATTGGAGTAGAAAAAAAGAGCTGCTTGACTCTCTTGAGGCACAGTAGCGCGAGATGATTTGTCATTTTTCTGTCCTTTGTTCACCTTAGAGAAAAGGTAGAAAGCACAAGTTCTCAAGCTACCTTTCATTTTCACCATTTGTCTTGGTGTCTCTCAGTGAATCTTGCTGAAGATGTTGTTATGGAACCCGTCTGATAAATATAGGCCAGACAACACAGTCTGTTGAATGCATCAGTAAAGTAGATCTTTAGGGAATCATATTGTATTTAAAGTATATTTAATATATTTATATTTATTTATTATATTGAAACCATTGAAACCATGAATGTGACAACTGAAAGCTTTTATAAAGCTTATTCAGACTCAACAAACAGGATGTACTAATGCTAAGTGACACAAGGGATTTCATGAGGTGACTGAGAGGCTTGAAAACAAACGCAATATGTAAGGACCTAAGAGTGAACCTTGTGGATCTCAGCTCATTCAAACATACCATTTTGCATATTTGTGTTATTTATTGTATGCTATCTAACCCTACCTTACAAACAGGGCTGTACACCCTGTCAGCAATTGACAAGAAAATATAAGGAGGGGGAACTACACACTTTAACTAATTGTATGGGTGTCTCAGGTTTTGCATCTACCAGTTAAATTACCTTGTGTTTTTTTAAAACCTCTTTTAGGAGGTGTTGTGGATAAAGATCTCCGGCATTATCTCAACCTACGGTTCCAGAAGGGTTCAGTGGACCACGAGCTTCAGCAAATCATACGTGATAACCTCTACCTCCGGACTGTGCCGTGTAAGTAACCTCTACATATACATTTTAAGAATCCTGTTTTACTCACGGCAAATAGATTGGGTTTATTAGCATTGGTATTTTTCGTATCCATAAATATGGTGCACAAAATCCTTATGAGGAACTTCAAGTGGAACCTACAAAATGAGGATCCGGTTCCACAGTGTCCTAACCAGAAGTGATGTAGTAAAAGTTATATGTGACAACCCGTAAAAACGGAACAACTTTTCCATCTGACCACAACATTCCACAAGCGGCAGGGCATTTGCACAGTAGTGCAGTCGTGGCCTAATGGTTAGAGAGTCGGACTTGTAACCCGAAAGTTGTGGGTTCGAGTCTCAGGTCCGGCAGGAATTGTCGGTGGGGGGAGTGAATGTACAGCGCTCTCTTCCACCCTTAATACCACGAGCAAAGCACCGAACCCCTAATTGCTCCCCGGGCGCTGCAGCAATATGGCTGCCCACTGCTCCGGGTGTGTTTGTTCACGGTATGTGTGTGTGTATACTCACTACTGTGTGTGTGCACTTGGATGGGTTAAATGCAGAGCACAAATTCCAAGTATGGGTCACCATACTTGGCCACACATCACTTCACTTAACTTAGCTCTGCCCACTGTGAAATCTCATTGGTCCAAAATTCTGCTCCTCATGACTATATGTTAGACATCAACTATCTTCTATGCAGTTTTGCATTTAGTGTGGACAGACAAATTGCTTGTCACATTGTGCCTAGTTAGGACACAGAAAGTGTCAATTTTTTGATGCACTATTTTAGTATTTTTTATTGTATTTTTCTTGCAAAACATTCTCCTGGTCTGATTATATGTATTAATGGAGCTTTTGTTTGTTACTCTGAGAAACGTAATGGGAGAAACATGGAGACAAACCCTCCCTGATATGTCTGGGTACCATCTCAATGTATGATGCAACCAGATAGAAAGAACCGATGTGACTTATTTTGGTTTAAAGCACTATGAATGGGTTTTTCACTCAGTCAGATGTAATAGAAAAATGTGTAATATTGTGCAAAGTGTCAACCTCTAGTTAGAGGTAAATGACAGGAATGTTAGCAGTGTTTCAAAATCATATGTAACAAATTTGACTTGTACCACAGTTCATAAAAACAAACAGAAATGTGTTGACAGTAATGCACTGAGACCTCTGCGGAGAAAATGTACAGTGCTCACAAGTGCATTTTTGTCGACACCGCAATCAACTCATATTTAACCCAGATTATTTCTCTCATTAGTCCACACATTTGGACTAGATTGATGCTGTCAGTCCCAAATGCTTGACAGCTGAAAAAGGAATTGCGACATACAAGGTTGTGGTGCAATTTTGCCGGCTAGCTAGGTAGCGGTCGTTAGTGTTTGCTAGCTGCCAAGCTAGCTACCTACTTGACGTTAGTTAGTATGGCTTGTTTTAGCCTTAGAACATGATGGACAGTAGAAATAAAAAACCTTCTATTGATTACCTCATTCACAATGTTTGTTTTGTTTCCGGATTAATTTGAGATTCATATGAAGAAATTGAATAAGAAACATATATTTTGATGAACCTTGACACTGCCCTTACAAAAATTAACCGTGGTTTTACCACAAAAAGAACCAAACAACCATGGTCACTATAGTTAAACCATGGTAACAACAAATTTACCATTGTTTTGCTACACTAACTATATTTTAACCATTGTATTTGTAATAAAACTGTGGTTATACGAATGGTAATCAATGTAAAAAAAACATGGTTACTTTACTTATGGTTACTATAATGGTTAATTTTCGTAAGGGTGGAAAAGTTGAACATTAGCTGCTTTGCTATTTTGGTTCACAGTTTGAACCTAACAGTTAAGATTGTTTTATTTATTTTGAGCCATATGGTAACACTTATTAGCTAACATTAGTTAATGTATTAACTAACACTAACCAAGAGGCAATACATTTGTTACAGTATTTATTAATATTTGTTATAAAAATACGACTGCTACCTCATTTTAGCTTAGGTCAGTTAAAGCTGCAGTCCGTAACTTTTTTTGTTAAAAATGATCCGAAATCAATATTTGAGCAAGTACATAACCAGCCAGTGTTCAAAACTATCGCTTTACTTTAGCCCGGTTCACAACAGTTAGCTTATAATAATGTTTTATAATTTGAGTGGTACGGGTAGTGAATGATTACCTGTAGTTTTCCTACAACAGTAGCAGTACACACAGATGGAGGAGAGGAGAACACACACGGGACACACACTGAACAGCAGCGTCCAGCAGAGCACACAGTCTGATACAGGGGGTGGTATGGAGGTGGTATTCAAGGGTCCAGAACAGGAAGATACTTGCTCAACTAAACATAAACAAAATACAGTGGGTACGGAATGTATTCAGACCCCCTTAAATTTTTCACTCTTTGTTATATTGCAGCCATTTGCTAAAATCATTTAAGTTAATTTTTTTTCCTCATTAATGTACACACAGCACCCCATATTGACAGAAAAACACAGAATTGTTGACATTTTTGCAGATTTATTAAAAACGAAAAACTGAAATATCACATGGTCCTAAGTATATATATATTTACATATAGATATATCCATTCTACATATAGATTTGCTTCAACTCAAAACAAAAACAACTGGTAACTAACTGCGATGCTTGGGTCAACTCTACATGTATACTCTCCTCGCCTGTTCACTTGTTCTTCCTTTCCTTTCCTCTCTCTCTCGCTCGCTCTCTTCCTCAGTCTAGGGTTTCCAAGGCAACCACCATTTCCTCTCCAGGCTTGCCTGCTGATGTTTCCCCCTCCCCCTCCATAGTGGTGCACAAACACATCACAATCACCAACCGGCTGGATGAAAATGATGCCTTTGATTTATGCCTGTGCAGTGCAGTCATGAGCATGTATTTCTGGAGCTATTTCTCCCATACTGAGAGTCATTAGAGTAACTGAACAGCTTGCTATAAGATGTTTCAGAGGCTGGATTGAAAGAGACAAGACAAGACAAAGCGATGTTAAGCTGTTCGTTTGTCTTGTGAATGTTAAAGCAGAGGAAGAGAGCTAGAACATGACCTAGGTAACTGAATGTGATAGCGCTGCTTTATTAAAAACATGCCAGATAGAGTTTGATTATAGTTTAACAGTCCCACAGGGAAGAAGTAAGAGATGGGTGCTGTCGGGACATTATTACACTGCATAGTGCTTTCGAATTGGTATAGATTTTTGTTCTCTTCCATTTTGGTACAGAAAATTGTTCTTCACGGTTCGTTTTCCAGCTCTTATTTGTTGTAAGTTTTATTTACTGACTTTAATTTGTCAATCTACCCAATGTCTTGCATTTGCGTTGTGCAATGAATTTGCGGCCTGATTTTGGGATGCAGTGATGCATCAGTTCGGGCTTGTGTAGCTTGAAGCATTTATGTTCGCATTCAGAATCAAATCCTGCTAGTCATCGTCGCCACACAAGGTGTAACTACAGGCCGTTTGATATGTGATGTGTAACTTCACTCTCAGCTGGAGCGCGCTGCACTGACATGGCTCATTTCACAAGTCTCTGCACTGTCACTAGTTGTTGCCACACACACACTCAATAATTTCATAACTGGGTTTATGGAACAGTATTTACCATTTACTATTCACGGCAAGTTTGCTTGTCTTTGTGAAATGATGTCGGCTTTGTGTTTTTTATTATTTCGATTTTAGATTGTGCTTAAGCTGTTAGACAATTTGCACTGTAAAATCCTCTTGGGAAAGTGCATATATATATATGCATACATACATATCCAGTCATATCATGATGGAGGCATTGCCTCCTCTCATGTGACTTTCCCTAATTCATTCTCAATTACCCCCACTAAACTCACGTCACGCTTTAGGGGCAGGGCCGCACTCGGACTTTCCCGCCCCCTAACCCAAGATGAGTGTGAAAATAGATTTTAATTATAAAATATATAGGTTTATTTAAAAAATATAGTTGCCAAATGCATAGGCTTTCTAGCGTTAATATGATGCTACTATAGCAACAGTTTAGGACAGTCCATTTCACAAAGTCGCATTTTAATTGTTACATCTCTGACACAAATTCCCACACAAGCGGTGCAAGAATCCAGCACTACTGAGTAAGCTATGATGAAATAATTTTTTAATGTTTAATAGAGGGCTAGATGATCGTAGTTAGTTAATTATTTTGCTGTATTGTTTAGGGATGGGCCATTCCAAGCAAAAATAATATTCGAAAATCGCTGGGTATTATTCGATTATTATTCGACAAACACCCATAAACAGAGAGAGAGGGGGAGAGATGGGATTCACGCTTTCAATCTGCATGATAAACTGTTTAATTCCGAAGATAGGCTATCAATTCAAGCCATATAAGGATCGTAACGTGCTGAAACATATTAATATAATAAACATAACCGAATGGCGGCACTTATTAACATAACAGTCCGTCGATTAGCATAAATCAACTACTCATAATCCTAGGACATTTCCATTAAAAAAAATTGAATAGATACGAGATGGGAGGAAAAATATATTTCAATATCTTCTGTCGCAATTATACCGTTGGGTAATTATACTGTATGTAAACTGTGGGCATCAAGGAGCCGTTATTAATATGCGGGGCATTGAAATCGCTTAAGAACGCGCGCTTGTTTTTTTACTTTCACTTTCGAGATTCGCAATCACATACGGAGCAGCACTCGGCAGTATTACCACACATTTTACAAGATTAGATGTTTGTCAGTGGTGCTCAGGATCTGCAAATCATTCGCGCCTTTCTGAACAACACAGATTCAGTCACACCTCTAACCCAGTCGGAGGTGTTTGTGGTCCGTGCAGAGCACTTATTTGACATCGTCCCAAATTACTGTAACCATTATATGCTACGCAAGTCTTTTTTTTATGCCACGCAAGTCTACAACTGTGGAAGCTTCTGTCACGAAAACAAATTCCTCGTATGTGTAAACATACCTGGCAATAAAGCTCATTCTGATTCTGATTCTGATTCTTCTCA